CACTGCTCATTGAATTGAAAAAGCTCCTTGGATGAGGAGCGAAACGTCTTCTGTTACAAATAAAGTCCAGTTGTTTTTGTATTGAACGCTTTTTGAATTCATCATGTCCTGGATGGAGGCAGCACGGTGGCACAACTGGTAGAGCTGCTGCCTCTCAGCGAGCAGGTCCCTGGTTCAAACCCCGGTCCAAGGGCCTTTCTGGGTGGAGTTTGCATGTTCTCTCCGTGCATGCGTGGGTTTTCTCCGGGTACTCCGGTTTCCTCCCACAGACCAAAAACATGCATGTTAGGCTGATTGGTAACTCTAAATTGTCCCTAGGTGTGAGTGAGAGAGTGAATGGTTGTTTGTCTCGTTTGTCTCTAAAGCCCCTTATCCACGGGTCTTTTTGGTACTCCTATGTAACTAGTTGTGGCCGATTGCGGGTTTTATCAACAATGCCTCTAGTGGTGGAACCCACCACATTTTTGGGACCTAAATCACTGAGGTCCCAGGTCTGGTTCTTTTAGGGTCTAGTTGTGACATCAGCGCACTGTAGGTCACTGATTGGTCAGGGGGCGTATTCATTGGTGGAGGGCGGAGATTCAGTCTTCCACCGGAAATCACAATCCACCATTTTCTTTTTCACCCGCATAATAGACAACAAGAAATCGGAGGAGCTTATTTTGGAATATTTTATAAGGTAAAACAAATAATCATGGCACAACCGTGGTCGAATGCTGAAGTTCAGGCATTTCTCTGTTTGCTGGCCGATGAACAAGTGCAGCGCGAGCTAGATGGAACGAAACGAAATGAAAAGATTTTTCAAGAGGTGTCTGCGCAGATGGCGGTGCAGGGCTTCCATCGCACACCAAAGCAAAGAGGAAAGCTTAAAAAACTAATAGTTGATGGTGAGTGTATTTTATTTACTTTAAGCATATTTCCTTTTCCTCATGCAACCGTTTCTTTGCGTTTTCTGAAAGTACTCTGAACAAACGAGGCTGACGCGGTTACGTCGTCATTAGTTAGCATCATTGCTAACTGTACTCTGTTGCTGTTTTTCCACTCTTATTTTGATGCAGAAAGTCCCACTGAAGATTAAGGTTCGCCAGATTCTGCTTTTGACTGTCCAATCCTCCCCGCTTCTGACCCTTCCCGACCACACCAGCTCCAAGTACATCTACACAACCGAGTACATGCACGCCACCGGGCACATCCACGCCACCGGGCAACACGCAGCAGAGCGGCACCAAACAGCACCCGTTACTAGGTAAGAAGAAGCAACAATCGTGTTTAACATCACATTGATCATGTCGATATGAATGTTGTTTTGTTGTAAAACACCTTGCATGTATTCAAACTACTTGTTTATTCAGTTGTAATGGATAACTGTTAAATTTAGTTATTCATTTATTACTTAAACTTTCATTTATGAAGTTTATTATTGAAATTATACAGGGTGTAGTGATTTTTGTTCAGATTAACGATGCTCTGTTTTTCTAAATTAGCACAAACCGTTGTAAATGACTACATGTAGTTTATTTATGCCCACCTGCTTACTATCATTAAAGTACTAGACTGCTTTATGAACAGAATCATTTCTGATCTTGTGAACAAACACCTTTTGAAATTAGCAGGAACTTTAATGTAAATAATTTATTTAAAAACTCTACCTGTACTTCATCATCTAACAGACATTTTCTTGTGTGTTATTCCTAGGCCATAGAAAGCGCAGATCAACAAGTGCAGCAGAGAGCTTTGTTTCTGTGCATACTGAACAAGAGGAGATGAACCGGAAGCAGAGAGAGGAACACTTCCATTTTATTTGTGAGGATGCCAAAAAAGCAAGGCAAGAAGAAGCTACAGCAGCGAGGAAGCAGGAGAAGGCAATTAGGAGGGAGGAGATGGCCTTGAGGAGAGAGGAAGCAGATGTTCGCAGAGAGGAAGCAGCACAGCGAAGGCAGGAGGCTGAACAGAGTGCTGCTTTCAGTCAGGCACTCCTTGGGGTGCTGGAATCCATTGCCCGTTCCATGGCAAACAGACATGTTTAAAAATATTTAGAGTAGATCATAGTTGATCTATAGAAATGTAGATCCTGCAAGGTAAGCCCACAAATAGCCAAACATGTAGCTTGTTAAGGTTGCATATATAATTAGTGTATAATTGTTTTTTTTTTGTACAGGTCTTTATTTCTAATAAAAGAAACATTTTCAAGTCTTGAGCTTCCATCTGATCATCAAAAGTGAAGTGCTTACAGTGTTTTTTTACGTCAATAGTGTAGATAAGTGAAGTAATTGTTTTTTACCTGTAACAATGCTGGTGAAGATTCTCAGTTATCCTTGACACGGCAAATCCCTCCCAAAACAGATAAAAACAAAACCACAGGACTTTTTTTAAAACTCCAAAAAGTCCAGTATTTTTATTTATGTATTTTTTTTGGTTTTATCTGTAATGAGTACTGAAAAACGTAACCATAATACAGAATGTCCATGTGTTGTAAATGAACATTGCAGTGGAGTTAAAAAGGTGTAGGACTTGTGTAATCTACGTTTACAATCATCCTCATTCAGGAGGTTTTCAGTCATTGCATGTCAAACACCTCGGCCATGATGTCCATCCTGTGGATCCAGCAGCTTCTGCATCTTTTTCACCCAAGGTCAAAAATTCTCTCCACGACTTTCACTGTGGTACAAAGGAGCACTAACTTAATATTACTTAACAGCACTTCAATCATGAAGATAATTTGCGACAGCTTAATTTAAAGAGCTGCGTGGTAAGCATAAGCTCTGAAAGAGTTGTTAAATATCAAATCAAATGTAGGTTATTATGTAATGTACGTAATATATATATATATATATATATATATACACATACATACATACATACATATATACAAATCAAATTACAAAAAGACTTCATTGATCCCAGAGGGAAATTAAATGTAATTCATCATCCTGGTTTCATTAAAGAGTTGTTCTAGATGCTGATGGCTGTGGGCAGGAAGGATCTCTTGTAGCGTCTGTCTTACAAGGGATCTGAAGAAGCCTCTGGCTGAAGACATATATATATATATATATATATATATATATATATATATAAATATTAAAATAGATGAATGTATATATGCATAAACAAATATAAAGTTCTTGTTCTAGGTTTTGGTTCTTTGTTAAAAACAAAAATTAAAGAGTACACAGTTTTTCTAAAACTACAGCCACTAAAAAACGCAGCATATGTGATAGAAGCACAGCAGCAGTGTTTGTTTAGCCATTTTTACACGAACCTGGTAATAAGGCATGTCTGTACATTAAACAAACAAGAATAATTATTAATCCATGTTTATTTTCAAATCAACACTTTAACGTTCACTTGTATCTAAGGAAGGCTGGGGAGGTAAAAAAGATTAAGGGGTTGAATTAGGATAAGTTACAGCTCATGAGGTACTCCATCAGAGCATCTCAGACACCTCGGCCCTGCTCTCCATCTTGCGGGACAGCGACCGGGACGGGCTGTGCTGCTGGTTCTGCTTCAAGTTCATCGACGTCATCCATTTTGGTTGTGTGTTGTTTTCCAGCTCTTCTTCTAATACATGTTAGTGGTGCTTAGAAAAGAGCTTAATGTAGCACTACCGCCACCAGCTGGTAAGGTGCGTTGATATTAATAATCCACCCACTAGAGGTGAACAATACGCCCACTAAACGGGAACTATAGGCAAAGTGGAGACACAAAAATAGAGGTCCCACTAGAACCGGACACAACAGGCTACAACAAGAACCAGACCTGTGGATACCAGGCTTATGTGGCCCTGTGATGGACTTGCGACCCGTCCAGGGTGTACCCCGCCCCTCGCACAGTGATTGCTGGACATGGGCACCAGCGACCCCCATGACCCAAAATGGAATAAACGGGTAAAGAAAATGGATGGATGGATGGATGTCCTGGATGACTGAGAATCTTCACCAGCAATGTCTGAAACTCTTTCAACCAGGCTAAATAATTTTTAAATAGATCCCTGCAGTAAATGACAACTATTTAAAGACCTTGTCAACCTTTTGACAAAAAAATAATCACAGGCTTTCACAATTTCTCTACATCTGTGATTGGTGTCATACTCCTTGGTGTCATGGGGGAGTGGTGGCGCAGAGGTTAGAGAGGTGGGCCTGTGATCCGAAGATCGCCGGTTCACGCCCCGGCCCCGACAACATCAAAATTGTGGGTGGGGTAGGTGAAACACCCACACTTGCCCCCACCCTCATTCGCCCCACCCTGGGCCCATGAGCAAGGCCCTTAACCCCCACCATGTGCTCCTTAAACAGGTCTCTCTTGAAAATGAGTTCTCGTGTCTCAATGAGACTACCTGTATAAATAAAGGCTAAATGAAAAAAAAAAAATACTAACAAGATGACACATTATTTGGACCTATAAAATCTGAACATTTGCCTGATCTTTTGTTAACAGTGGAAAATTCTGAAAATCTAAAAGCAAACAAAAATCAGTGTGGGTAGAACCTGTACAAAACATCATTTTATGCAAATAGTCACAAACTGAAACAAAGTTAAAGGAGATCATGACAATAGTGGAGAAGGGAAAGAATGACACAATCAGTCGTGACTGAATTTTAGTCCAAAATAAAATTAATGTATGTTAACATGGCATCACAGAGATGAGTGAGCTGGATCTTTCATTTTCTGTGTTTGTTGCTATGAATTTTTACATCCTGCTGTAAACCACATTAACCACCGAGATTAACAAGCACATTGGGTTATCTGTACTTGTGGATAAAATGTCAAATTACTATTAAATCATTTTTACATAGAGCCTCTTCAAAGCTGCAGTACCAGGGTGCATTGATTGACTTGTCACAATCCTATTAGTCCGTTAATATAAAAAATGCAATTTTATTACCTGAAAAGTATGGCTTTAATCTGTTTCATGTCTCTAAAATGTAATGTTTTCCCATGTGTCTGCATTAGTCTTGGTGTGTTAAAAACTTGTTTAATGTGGGATCCAGGATCTGTGCTTACATCACCATGTTCTCCATGCTGATAGAACACTTCCAAATGGCTCCAGTGGCAGCAGCCAGGAGCTGCTTGTTGTCCAATTTCCTGAGCAGCGAGACCAAAGGCTGTAGGCCTTTGTATCTGCGCACCAGCCCACGGGTTTCGTTGTCCACGGCACACTGCAACCCAAATTATAGAATCACATTATTCCCAATTGATTCTGTTTAATTTCCTTCTCCACAGCAATAAACGTTGCATGGACCTGTGCACAAGGAAGAAGAGCTAGTACCTTAAAGATTGCACTGGCACAATGCATCTGTAGCTCATCATTGTTCCTTCTCAGGTTTTTAACCAAGTCCTTGATGATGCCTTCAGTATTTATGGCAGTTCTGTAATTTTCCTGTGGTATCACCAGATTCATGAATAAATATTACATATAATCTGTGCATGCCTTTTTGTAGTGATTATTTCTTCTTTTCAATAGACATTTGTTATTAAAACACAATCTATTTGTGATACTTTTAACTTTAATTTTAATTACAAGGCAGGGTATCAAAGTTCATGCTCAATAATCCAGGTAAAAAAATCCATCAAAGTTAAGTCAGGTCCTCTGGATGGTTTCTTTGTGTTGAAACATTTCACCTTTCATCCAAAGGACTTCATCAGTCCGAGGAGCCACAACATACTCAGTCCCATAAGTAGCACACTCACATAGTGAGCCAACCAGTTTGATGGTGATAAGATGGTTTCTGGAGTCTGCCCTCTCCCCCCTCGACTCCCCTGAGGCAGCCATGTCATACGATTCAGGGCGTCATCCTCTCAGATACATGTCTCTGCTTATTACAGTACTTGAATAACCGCTTACAAACAATCTTGTTTTTAAAATCCCTTTACAAGGGATCCTTACTTTACTCTTATACTACACACACATCAGCTATTATGCCATGTTTTATAAAGTGATGCATGTTAAAACAAACTTGTTTGCATAATCTTTTATTATAAAATATGGTTCAGATGTTTCTGGTACAAAAACAAACAGACACATCTATATATAGTTCAAAAGCCACATCAAACTGAACTGCACAAATCTGTCAGTCTTCACATCCTTGGCGCAAATTGTTGATTAAAAACCTGACAACAAAATGCTGTTTTTTATTTCAGCTCATGGGGAGAAAATGAGTTTATGTGTTCATTTGTAATCTGAGTCCCTACAAGCGATTGAAAAGAAAAAAAAAAACACAAACAGCTTGGATGCGAGGCTTCATTCAAAATATCACTACAATAAATTTAAAACTTCAAAACAGTCTGCAGGGAAAGGAAAATGCTGTTAAATCAACTGTTCAGTGAATTAGAAGTGTCTACTACTGTCTCAAAACTGTCAGTTACACTTAAAATCTTGTTTAGTTAACAAATCACAGAAATAAACAATTATTAAAAAATACAAATTATATAACCTTTAACAAAAAAAGCTTAAAGTGGTGTCACTAGTCTATATTTTATGTTTTTGTGTGGCCTAATAGTATTTATTTAATCAATGAAGAGCTATATCATGAACTTTGTTTATAATTATTTACTTTGTGATTCAAAGACAAAATGGAAAGCCAAAGAGCAACTATAAGAATGCAGTTAGAGAGGACATGGAAGTAAACGGAGTGAGGACAGCAGATGTAGAGGACAGAGTGAGATGGAGGAGGACTTGATGAAGAGGGAACAGCCAAAAGAAGAAGAAAAACATTTTGACTCAAACCTTCAGGTTTTGTAGAACAGAGCATGTCTGACTCACGTGGCTGCCCTCACCTTTGAGGCACATTCCTGCAGGGTGCCCACAACAGGGATAAGCATGTCCTCATGTGAAGATTTGAGCAGATGACCCAGTAGAGGGATGCCCCCGGCTATACGAATGGCCTCCTTGTTTTTGGTACTCTTGCTGCAGCTCCACAGAGCCAAGACCCCACAGCGGGCCACGTCCACATCCTTCACCAGGTTTGCATTGAGGTTGGCTGAACTAGGGACACAGTCCAGCAGCTTAACCTGATCAGAGAGGGCCCCAGACTTATGAATGGACAAACACAAACAGAAAAGCGTTTGCAAACGAGAGGCATTTCTTCAGAAAACCTCCAGGAACACATTTGGAAAAACTCTGTGACCCTGACATGAATTCTCAGTAGGTTTGGATGATAATGGATGGTTTGGATGATAATGGATGGTTCCAGATGAGAACAGCAAGCTATTAGCCATGATTAAGAGGGTGATTAAACTTCTATTGCCATTGGCTCTGGAAAGGTGAAAACAGCAAAGATCTAAGAAGTGGAAAAGTGTCAGCACTGACGTTAAAGTTAGACCTGAAAAGCTCAATGTGACGGTTTATTGCCTTCATTCAGTGATCTAATCCAAAGCTCCTGAGCAGTTAGGCAGAACAGGTGAAGTTGTTACACACTGACTGCACAGTTCAAAGGTGGTCTCGTAGAATAACATAAAATTAATCTGCCTCTGTCAGTGACTTGAACATGAGAACATCCAATTTGAAGCTGAAGAAAATATACAAGCCCTGAAGGCTTTAATCACAGGTCCCTCTGTCAACAAACAGAAAGGCTGCTCGGAGAATGTAAGAGACATTGCATCTTTTGAACCCAGCAGGCACTCCGCCATTTTCAACAAATGAACCAACATTCACACTGCTGTACAGAGCAGAGCTGTTACAGACAGATTTTATACGTCTTAAATTTTGAACAAGTAATATTTGGATCATGCTGGAAGAAGAGTGGTGGCACAGAGGTTAGAGAAGGTGGGCCTGTGATCGGAACATCACCAGTTCAAACCCAGATACTGACAACATCAAAAATGTGGATGGGGTAGGTGAAGCACCCACACCTGCCCCCACCCTCATTCGTCCCACTCTGGGCCCTTGAGCAAGGCTTTTAACCCTCCTCATCTGCTCCTCTGGGTGTCCTAGATAGCAGCTCTCTGCTCCACACAGAGGGCTGTGGTAGCTCGGTGGTTGCATCAGGAAGGGCATCCGGCTTAAAAATAACTGCCAAGTCTTCGTGCGACTTAGTTCACTGTGGCTACCCCTGAAGAAGGGAGCAGCCAAAAGAAGAAAAAATATATATATTTGGATCATGCTGAATGCCAAGATGGTTTTCCCAAATAAAAAAAGCTCTGCAATGTTGTCACCTATTCACACATATAAGACTTTAAGATATTTACAATATCTTGCAATACAGTATTTCATGTGTTACATAGCTTATCTTCCTGCATGTTGTCTTGCAAACATCCCTTATGTTGTACAACAACACAAAGTCTTCTCTTTCACATTTTATCTCAAGATTCTCTCAACACATTCACAACTGGCAGCAGGTCAAAAGTTCTACCAGTATGGTCCAGTATGACATACTCTTCTTTCAGTCATGCTTGGGATTTGATCTGAAAGTTGTTTTGTATGTTCTTTGAAAACATGGCCTAACGCGATTCTCAGTCTTGAGACCCATTAGCAGGCAGGCGAGGAGATCAGGAGTTTAAATAAAAAAAATTCATTTAAACAAGAGTACAAAAAGCTGGAGGGGCAGCGAAAACTTTCAAAATGAGGAGGAAACAAGTACAAGGAAGAATGGGCTATAGAGCAAAAACAGGAACAGGCAGAACAGAGAAGGACTGGGTCGTCTGTGGTTGACAGAACAATGATCGAACGGACGGTTTAGTGGTGGAGAGGAGAGGTTTAAATAAGGCTGAGGGAGAGAGAGATGATGAGTGCACCTGGGATGATAATGAATGGAAACTGGTGTGCATGATTAGTGACTGGAGAGACAGGCTGAGGAGTGGGTGAGAAATGACAGAGACCAGCGGTGGAAGACACAAGGAGCAGAATGACAATAAAAGGAACAGAACAGGAAAATGAAGACCAAGAAAATACAAATAAAACAGACAAGAGGCAGATCATGTCAGTGCCCCCCCCCCCCCCCCCCACACACACACACACACACACACTCAAGGGGCAGCTACTGACAACCCCAAAGACCAAATACAAGAAAACAGATAGTTGGGTGGAGAGGGGAGACACTAGGACGGACGGCAACAAGGAAAAATACAGAAAACCAAACTGACAGGGCTGGGAGAAAAACAAACAAAAAAATCTTCTATGAACGACCCTAGGCAACGTTCAAAGTAAACATGAGTTCTAAAGTGGACGGTTCGGAGACCGTCCCAAGCGATTCGAGAGTTCAGATGGATGGTTTGAAGACCGTCCCAAGCAGGATGAGAATTCAGGAGGTGAGGCCACAGGGCAGGCTGTGGTGGCAGACAAAGAGAACCTAGGGAAGGCAAAGGTGGACGGTGTGACGGCAGAAGTCGGACCAGTGATGACGATTATGGTGGCTTGTAGAGAGGCTCTTAGGGAGGCTATGGCTGCAGGCGAACCAGCGGTGGGAGCCACAGCAGACAAACCAGCGGTGGAAGCCACAGCAGGTGGACCAGCAGTGAGGGCCTCAGAAGGTAGACCAGAGATGAGGATCTTGCCAGGTGGTAGGACCAGAAGATCTTCAACTGACGAGTTGGAACAGAAGTCTGCGGCAGACATAGGGACAAGGAGAGCTGGAGCAGACATAGGGACCAATAGAGCTGGAGCAGACGTAGGGACCAGTAGAGCTGGAGCAGACATAGGGACCAGTAGAGCTGGAGCAGACATAGGGACCAGTAGAGCTGGAGCAGACGTAGGGAGCAGAACCTCTGCAGCAGGCGAGGGGAGCAGAACCTCTGCAGCAGACGAGAGGAGCAGAACCTCTGCAGCAGTCGAGGGGACCAGGAGTTCTGCAGCAGATGAGGGGACCAGGAGCTCTGCACCAGGAGCTCTGCCCCAGGAGCTCTGCAGCAGGTATATACAACATGGCAGTAGGGTGCTCAGCCAAATCAGGGTCTGCAGCTGGGGGCATAGAACACTTTGGAGCAGACAAGGGGACCTCCAGAGCAGATGTGAGGACCGCAGACATGAGGATCTCAGGCACAGAAATAAGGACCTCCGGAGCAGATGTGAGGACATCTGTAGGAGACGTGAGGACCTCTGGAGACATGGCCGACTTAGGCAGAGAGAGGGCTTGGGTTTCGGTGGACTCGGCTTGGGTCCCTCATCGACCTCTCTTTCTGTGGCAATGAGGAGGAAGAGAAAATGGTGGGATGTTGTCTTTGACACCCACTAAGCAACATGGCATCCGGGTGTCCTCCATAACACCCACTGAGCAACACGGAGGTGAGTCAGAAGGCGAGATCATTTTCTTTGACTCAGAGAAGGTACTCCAACGGGGAGGAGACCCCAGGGAAGACCCAGGACATGCTGGAGAGACTATATTTCTCGGTTGGCCTGGGAATGCCATGGAGTCCCCCCAGATGAGCTAGAAGAGGTGGCTGTGGAAAAAGATGTCTGGGCATCCCTGCTCAAGCTGCTGCCCCCAAAACCCGACTTCAGAACAAGCAGAAGATAATGGATGGATGGATGGATGGATGGATGGATGGATGGATGGATGATAGATGGATAGATGGATGGATGGATAGATGGATAGATGGACAGAAAGGGTTCTGGGATGACTGGAGGCAGAGCAGCAGACAGCAGGAGAAGAGAGCGTAGAATAGGTCTCTCAATCCATTCTTCAGCAAAAAGTTCAAACATCCCCGGTTCATCGCCCTCTAACTCTAATTGGGTAAATATGTCCACAAAGTCCTCGATAGCCACCATCCTTTCCCATAGATCATCGGAGGTGACAACAGTGTCAATATAATTACGTGTTACCCAACAAAGTTGGTCACAATCAGGCTTGTACTCGGCGAGGAATGTAGAACATGCTAGGTCTGGTCCGATCATTCTAATGCGATCCTCAGTCTTGAGACCCATTGGCAGGCAGATGATGAGAGCAGGGGTTTAAATAAAAATAATTTATTTAAACAAGAAAACAAAAAGCTGGAGGGGCAGCAAAAACTTACAAAACAAGGCGCAGACAAGAACAAGGCAGAACGGGTCATCGAGCAAAAAGCAGGAACAGGTAGAACAGAGGAGGACTGGGTCGTCTGTGGTTGACAGAACAATGATCGGACGGTTTAGTGATGGAGAGGAGAGGTTTAAATAAGGCTGAGGGTGAGAGATGATGAGTGCACCTGGGATGATACTGAATAGAAACTGGTGTGAATGATTAGTAACTGGAGAGACAGGCTGAGGAGTGAGTGAGAAATGACAAGGAGCAGAGTGGAAGTTACAAGGAGCAGAATTACAATAAAAGGAACAGAAGAGGGAAATAAAGACCAAGGAAATACAAATAAAACAGACAAGGGGCAGTTCATGTCAAGCCTTTTGAAAACAGCATATCTTCTTCTTGACCTTCTGGTTTTTGTTGTTGTTGTTCTTCTTGCTGCTCCCTTCTTCAGGGGTCGTCACAGACTCGGCTACCACTGAGCTACCATTAGAGCATTAGAGCTACCAGTAGAGCAGGGAGCTGCCATCTAGGGCACCCAGGGGAGCAGATGGTGGGGGTTAAGGGTCTCGCTCAAGGGCCCAGAGTGGGGCAAATGAGGGTGGAAGAAGGTGTGGGTGGTTCACCTTTCACACCTTTGAATCGGCAACCTTCCGTTCACAGGCTCGTCTTCTCTAGCTTCTGTGCCAACGGTCCCCTTTTGAAAACATAAATTGTTCTGAAATCTCAGCACACTTTTTAAATGTTTTTATTTTATTTTATTTTATTTATTTTATTTTTTTTATTTTATTTTTGTAAATGTTTTTATTAATGCTACCATCAGTGTAAATAAGCTTTAACAAGAGCTCTCATCGATCTTGCGCTGCCACACAGCCTGGCTTGAAAATGTGTTGCTTCTGTATCAGCCTGGTTGATTCTTTAGTCCAGAAAACATTAGAGGTGAGTAGTGTGGACACAGAATGGAGACTCATAGGCAATTCTAATAGCAAAAAAGTCTAAGACTATAAAAATCTAAATAGAAGGAATCCAAACAGTAATAAAATGCAAAGTAGATTGAAAAAAGGAGTACATAGGAATAAACATGGAAAATAAAGCAAACTGTGACATCTGACAAGTGAAATTAGAAACAGAAGTCTACAACTGGGTGGGGTGATTACTGATTGTAAACAGGTGCATTGTGACCAAATGAGACATAGGTGTGTAAGGAACTGCAATAAAAAATACTGAACTCTATGGCAATAATATAACATGACAACCGAAAACACACTGAATACAAAGTGACAAAAATTCAAACAGGAAACTAAACTCAACTAACAAAACCAACCCAAAATATGACAACTATCACAACAACAGAGTTTTTCCAGAAAATATCTGTAATATTTATTTTCTTAAACCTCCAAACCTCATTATTAACCCAGGCTTGGATGCACTGGCTTGTGCTCACTACTGGTCAATTTAGTTTTTCATTAATCTAACAACAAAAATATCAGTTTTTGCATCTTTCTCTATGTTTTTTTTTTTTGTGTGTGTGTGTGTGTTTTTTTTTTGTTTTGTTTTGTTTTTTTTCCCTCTGGCTCTCGATCAAGGTGGCTGCTTTTGTCTTTCCTCTCCCATTTTTCCTTCCTCCTGCTCTGCTCTCTGTGTGTCTGAAGTGCCTGGTAAACATCTCCCAAACGTAAATTAGGATTATGGATCTGGTATCCTGGGCGTTCAACTCTATCAACAAGATTTTTTCAACAAAATGACAAGGATCTGGAGAACCTGTGTGTCCAGCTAAGACACACGCTGTGGGGTATGTCATGGACCCATGGGGAGTGTGGCAGTTGATGTGCCTCTCAGTCCTGTCTCAGGAGGATGCTGAAGACGTTTACATATTTGGATTTATGATAGCAAGGACTCTGCTTTTTGGCATCGGCGGGGCTCTGTTTAATTGACTATTGAAGAAGACATCGGCAGCAATTTCGGCCATTACAAAGCTTCCAAGTCAGTGTGAAGGTTTGGTTTGTGCTGTGAGTACTCAAAATAAGCTGATTTATTAGCTAAACCGTAAGGTGGAGGCAATTTATGAGAATTGCAGGCCACCTGCGGCTTCTGGGACTTGTCAGCACGGTGGGGTCAACCTTGAGGGAGACTCATAACATGGATCAGTGGAATGCATTCCCACATTTAGGCCATTTTGGAACCAGAATGTCCAGATGGACTCAAGGCTGAAGAAAAAAAATCTGTCAGCCTGAAGAAAATCAACAATCAAAGCTTATCTGAATCTGACTCCCTGATGGCCTTGGAGATGGGCCGACTATCAAATTTCTTCTGGGTCATGGGTAACCAAGGACAAAAGCTTCATCTATCACAAATTTCTGTGCAAGCTTATCAGAACTGCCAGCTGAAACAACATCATCAGAACTGTGGCCGATCTGAAAAACGCTCATGGACAAATCTCAACACCTTGATGTCAAATGCATATGTAATCATGTTTTAATCGTGCTTGCTAGTATTGTTTTTTTGATGTCTCAAATCGTGTCCTGATAGACAAGATGTGAAAGATCCTTTTTTGTAATACCACTATCTACCCTCATGTTTCTCTCCCTTTTCCTATATAAGATTATTATTCTGAAAAACGATAAGAAAGGCTGTGCTTATTTATAGTAGCAGCTTCGTGCACTACGTCCATCTTCCGGACAACTGCATGTACATGTTCTCCTTGTATCTCGGTGCAATGAAAATAAAGCTTATTCTGATTCTGATTCTGGTTGTAGTGCATGCTGTGTTATTTTAAATTAAAAGTTTTCTGCATATTTACTTACCAGTTTCTTGATGCCATCATTGTGCCTGACGGCTCTCCTTGCTTTGTGGAACTGAGCCACATTAGCAATGGTCTCAGCAGCTAAAGCCTTCAGCTGATTTTCTCGTGCATCCAGATTCTTTACCATGCTCTGCAGGCCTCCCATGTCTAAGATGCTCTGCTGGATTTGCCTGTTGTGGCTAATTTTACTCAGGATTTTTAGAGACCCAATCTGATCATTAAAAAAGTTAGGAAACAAAAAATACAATGAGTAGATTAAGTAACAATTCTGTTTGTTTTATGATGAAGAAATTTATAGTATGTTTTGTTTCTATGCTAACATGAGGCATCCATCTGTTCTGAGAGAATAGCAGAACGTTTAGCTGCATTTCTACTAAAGTCGACAAAAAGCTAAAAAAACAAACAAACAAACAGGCCACAAAGCACCCATAAATGTCATAATGTTGAATATGTGCAGTCATGTGCCTTTAAAGGCACACTACCTACCCAATAGTTGGCACACAAAGGGTCAGCTCTGTTCATGCTTGCTGGCAATCCAAGTCCGGCTCTGGTACAGCTTGTAAGGATGGCGCCATCTAGTGGGCCTTCCTTGTCTGTACTCCCTAGTGTGTCTCCTCATTTAACCAATTAATTTCACCCATGTCTCATGCCAGCTGTTTGTAATCACGTCCTGTCTTGTCTGTGTATATAAGTCTGTCTGTTAGTCTTGTTCGTTATTGCGTCGTCGTTAGGTCTACCCAGTCTTGTCTTGACCTGCTGTGTACTAGTCCTGATCTGATCTGTATTCCCAGTTTTGTAAGTGTGCTGCCATGTCAGCTATTTAATTTATTATCATTAAAAATATATATTTTTGTATCTACTGAGTTCGAGTCCCTGCCTGCAACTATTGGGTTTGTTCCTGCCTGATAAATTCTGACAGAACAACGTGACCAACACAGAACCCAACGGGCAGGATTCTTCTCAAAATTACTCACCTGTCTGTTACGAGCCACAGATGGGGGAGCCTGTAATCCGGTGTGGCGGGTTTCAAACCAAACCCGTCTGAACACAAAGTAGCCATTTCCCAGCGATTGAAGTCTTGTCTTCGCCTCTCCTGGTTCTGGAGGAAGAGAGAAGGTCTCTGCCCTGGGTGGAACACTGGGCACCCGAGCCAAGCTTTTCTTCATCTCCAGCGCCGCTCAGCTACTCGGGGTGGACATCAGGGGAGGAAGCAGAGCTGGAGGACGAGCTCTGCTTCATTCCTGCCCTCCCTTCTTACTGTCGCCGCCAGGGTGGCAGAAAACAAAACCGGACACAATCCACGGGACCTTCGCCGACATCCCTGACAGCGACTGCAGATCCAACTCAGTCCGGCGAGGCTAAGTTTCTGGGATCTTTTTCCGGTGCTGTTGAGAGAGCCGAGCCGGACGCCTCACCTCCTAGGACCCTGGTGAGGGAGGAATCTGGCACCTCAATCCCGCACAAAGCTCCCACGATAATCAGTCTTGTCACCTCTCACTCCATCCCCCGTTCGTCTAAAGACCAAACAAAAGGGGGCCACCCCAGAGAACAGTCAGCACGGCTGTCCCACATCACCTCAGCAGAGGTCACCACAGAAAGTCCTTCATGGGTGGTAGGTGCCTCTGACATCCATCATATAAACACTAATCTTCAAAACCTGTTTTATTCAGCTAAAAGCAACCCGGACTGTTCAAACACATTTCTTACATTAGCTGAAAAACTGTTATTATCTGTACCCGGCCTCAAGTCTATCCCAGCATATCATCAAATCTTGATTGAGATCAGGTCTATTATACAACCTAACTCAGTCCCAGAACCAGTCTCAATCCCTGTTCTAGAACCAGTCTCTGAACCAGTCCCGGTCCCAGTTCTAGTTCCAGAAATGGTCCCAGTTCCAGAACCAGCCCCAGCCTCAGTTCCAGAACCAGTCTTAGTCCCAGTTCCAGAACCAGTCTCTGTCTCAGTCCCAGTCTCAGTCCCCGAACCAGTTTCAGTCCCAGAACCGGTCTCGGTCCCTGAGCCTGACTCAGCCCCAGTCCCAGAGCATGATCCTGTTCCGCAGCCCTACACAATCTCCCAAAGTACTGGTCCTGACACCTAACTTCTGAGTATTGACGTGGGAGTTGGATCAGAAGCCCCTCCATCTCCTATTGTGTACATGGGAACTGGCCCTGATGCCCCATCTCTGTGTGTCTCCGTGGAGGTCGGTCCAGAGTTCTTACCACCTTCAGGTGTATCGGTGGGGTCCAGACTGACTCTGCTCTTGCCTGCTCTGTTGTGGGGGTCCAGACTGACTCCGCTCCTGCCTGCTCTGCCATGAGGGGGTCAGACGAACTCCTTTCCACAACCTCTGGTCCAGAGCTCCACATCTGTTCAAGATCCTGCCGCCGAAGATCCTGCCGCAGAAGATCTAACTGCAGAAGATCCAGCCAAAGATGACTTTACCTCTTTCACTACGCCTGCTTCATTCCATGAGGGTTCCATATGCTTGAGGTCTCCACGTCCAGCTCATCTTGGAATCACACTTTGCCTTGGTTCCACTCCTCATCCTGACCCATCTGCTGAGCTCCTCGCTGCTGATCCGTCTGCTGAGCTCCTCGCCGCTGACACATCTGCTGGGCTCCTTGCCGCTAACCCGCCTGCTGAGCTCCTCGCCGCTGACCTGCCCGCTGAGCTCCTCACCGCTGATCTGCCCGCTGAGGTCCTCGCTCCTGGTCTACCTGCCGTGGTCCTCGCTCCTGGGTCCACCCCCGTCCAGGCTCCACGTCCCGTCCAGTCTGACCGTCTGGTCTGTTCTGACGCCGTGGATGACTCACCGGCTGCCCGCCTGGTCTGCTCCGGCGTTATGGAGGGTCCTCCAGCCGTCCGCCTGATCTGTTCCTGCCTGTGGAATGGCCTGTTGGATGACATCCTGGCTGCCCGCCTAACTGGTCCCGGCCTGTTGAATGGTCTCCCGGCCACCTGTCTGCTCTGTTCTTCCTTGTTGAACAGCCTGTTGGACGACCTCCCGGCCGCCCGCATGACCGGCACGGCCTGTTGGAAGGTCTCCCGGCCGCCTGTCTGACCTGTTCCTGCCTGATGGCTGGCCTGTTGGACGACCTCCTGGCCGCTCGCCTGACTGGCCCGGCCTGATGAATGGTTTCCTGGCCACCCATCTGACCTGTTCTTGCCTGATGAACGGCCTCCCCGCCGCCTGTCTGCTCTGTTCCTACTTGTTGTACGGCTTGTTGAACGACCTCCCAACTGCCCGCCTGACCAGCCCTGGCCTGTTGGAAGGTCTTTTGGCTGCCTTTCTGATCTGTTCCTGCCTGTAGAATGGCCTGTTGGACGACCTCCCGGCTGCCCGCCTGACCGGCCCCATCCTGTTGGAAGGTCCTCTCGGCCACCCGCCTGACCTGCTTCTGCCTGATGGATGGCCTCCCGGCTGCCCGCCGGACTTGTTCCTGCCTGATGGACGGCCTCCCAGTCGCCCGCCTGACTTGGTCCGGCCTAATGGATGGCCTCCTGGCCACCCGCCTGACCTGTTCCGGCCTGTTGGACAGCCTCCCGGGCGCCCGCCGGAACTATTACTTGCTTAGGGACGGTCTTCTGACTGCCCAGACATTTTTGTGTTCCCTGTTTGTGTTTAGTTTAGTTCCCAGGTTTTAGTTTTATCCGTTTGTTTATGTCCTCATTTCATTGAGCCCTCCATCCTTGCAGTTCCTCCCTCCACACACCCAAGTCTTTTCTTTTTTGGGGAGGGGGCTATTTTGGGGATGCCAGGGGGCGTCCTGGGGGGGGGGGGGGTACTGTAAGGATGGCGCCATCTAGTGGGCCTTCCATGTCTGTACTCCCTAGTGTGTCTCCTCATTTACCCAATTTCACCCTTGTCTCGTGCCAGCTGTTTGTAATCACGTCCTGTCTTGTCTGTGTATACAAGTCTGTCTGTTAGTCTTGCTCGTTGTTGCGTCGTTGTTGGGTCTACCCTGTCTTGTCTTGACCTGCTGTATACCAGTCCTGATCTGATCTGTATTCCCAGTTTTGTAAGTGTGCTGCTACGTCAGCTATTTAATTTATTATCATTAAAAGTATTTATTTTTGTATCTTCTGAATCCGAGACCCTGCCTGCAACTATTGGGTTCGTTCCTGCCTGATGAATCCTGACACAGCTACTCACTTTACATTTGACAACATCTGTATCCAGCAAGTTAATGAGAATTTCAAGGGCTCCAACATCCCGGATGACCAGTTGGCATGCCTCATTCGCCAAATCAAAGTCCATCAGGCCAACCACAAGTACAGTGGCTGTCTGGTCAGCTCTCTAAAACAAAAATGAGAAAAAGACAAAAATGGGGAGATAAAAAAAAAAGATTAGGTGCAAGTTGGGAAAGTGGGAAAGTTCCAAACCTCTCCCCATATTTTTCCTGCATCTCTGCTTGAATGTCTTACTGCTGACATTATGTTGTTACTGCAGAATTGTCTGTACAGTATTTATTGGCAGACACTGACAGAAACATTATTTTCTAACAGAGTGCAAAGACTGTACTGAAACTGAAGCACCAAGGTCAGAAACCTTTAGCAATTGTCCCCAAAAACTATTAGCTCTAAACCCTCAAACTAACAATAAGTCAGCAATTTAAAGGCAGGCATATTGTCTTCAAACTGTGACCTTAGTAAAAACAAAACTTTCCGCTCAACAAGTAGTTTGATAATCTTTGACTTAACCTCAAGCTTTTCTCCAAACATGAGCATCAGGAAACTAACCCGATTAAGATTTACTACCTCTTGGCTAGAATTTGTTAAAAAATAAAGAAGGAAAAGAGTTTAAATGAAGACATGTGGGGTCAAACATCAGTTTAAATAAGGACATGTGGGGTCAAACATCACACAAACCTGTAACAGTTTTGTTTCCCCTAAACAACTTGTTTTTGTATCAAGACCCTTACTTTGTCTTACCAAATGTCTACACGTGTAGAACTTAACATGAATTGAAAATTATTGGAAAAACAAGTGGCAATCAAAATACCAGTTTGATGGCTGATGCTGTGATTATTTTTTCCTGATCATATTTAGTTTCAATTTGACCGATTTTTAAACAAATCTTTCCCATATTGAAAAGTTTGAATAAAACAATAAAACCAGTTTATAGAATACAATTGTTTTTAAAAGACATAGTAGAAGCAACATTAAACTTGACTTTTGTATGTAACAACTCATATCAAAATTTAAAATGATAAGTCATGTATAAAATGCCACAATATATTACTAATTGAAAGGACTATAAGATTGTCTAAACCAGAGCTATTTATCTGGTGGCCAGCAGTCCACTTCCAGCCCACGGGTGACGTTAGTCCGGTCCACCAATGTGTTCATAAAAAACAAATAATAATAATATTTTTTTATTTTGGGGGGTGGGGGGTGGGGGTCTGGGTTTTGTTTGATTTGGGTTATGTTTCCTGCATTTATGATTCAATGCAACAAATTAAAAAAATTTAAAAGGTAACAAATCATTGCAATACTTGTCCTGATGCATGCTCAATAATCCAGGTAGAAAAATCTAAAAAAGTTCAATCTGGTCCTCTGGACATTCAAAAAACAAAACAAAGCAAAACAATAACAAAAAATGTTGAAACGTTTCATCTTTCATCCGAAAGACTTCCTCAGTCTGAGGTGCTGAATTCAGCGCAGTCTTATAAATAGCGCCTTCTAAGAGTGGATCAACCAGTTTTGCTGCTGACAACCAAAACCAGATGCTCACATGATCAAGAAGGACCATAAACCTAACGATGGATCATTAGCACCCTGATGGCTGTTTACTATTCACAGAGGGCTGAGTGATACTAGCAATAACAGCATTGTAAGAGGGGGACAGTTGAACACGGAGGCCTCCACACCTGTTTAATGATAAACGATTTCTTTTTACAAAGATGGCCTCCTGTACTCCTCTCTCAAACCATCGTTCCTCTCTATCCAGGATGTGAACATCTTCATCCCTGAAAGAGTGACCGCTGGCCTGAAGATGAGTGTAGACCGCAGAGTCCTGGCCTGATGTTGTTGCTCTTCTGTGCTGGGCCATCCTTTTGGCCAGTGGCTGTTTAGTTTCCCCAATGTAAGACTGATCACAGCCCTCCTGACACTGAACAGCATACACAATATTACTCTGTTTGTGCTGGGGGACTGGATCTTTGCTGTATTGTATTTTGGGGTTTAAAAGCCACTGGGATGCTATGTTTAGAAAATAAACGTCTCAGTTTATCTGATAAGCTCTCAACATACGAAATGACCACTGGTCTGGGTCTGGGTTCCTCCTTTTCACCTGACGGCTGACTGGAGTCCTGTTTAGGTTTCTTCTCTGCTTTCAAGAAGGCCCAGTTAGGATATCCACATAGCTCTAGAGCCTGTCTTGTGTGGGATTTCTCCTTCTGCCTGGCTCCTGAATTAGTGGGGACGCTGTATGCTCTGTGGTACAGAATCTTGATGACTCCTAACTTGTGCTCCAAAGGGTGATGGGAGTCAAACTGCAAATACTGGTCTGTGTGGGTGGGCTTGCGGTACACCTCAGTTTGCAGTGGGCACCGGGCAAGCAAGATCCTTCAGAAGGAACAGACCCAGCTGCTGAATGAACGTGTGAGACAGACCAATTTTACTATTGAGGCCTTGAAGGCAAAAGAAGAGCACATTAAACAAAAACTAACAACGTGCCTAGATCAGACCACACTTCAGCAAGTGATGGACTGTACAGATCAGGCACGCTTAGCACAGCATGTCAAGTCCAAGACTGGACAACAAAACAAGTTTAATTTACTAATAACTCATCAACACCGTCACAATTCCAATAACAACACATTCAGTGTAAGACAACACTCCAGTAGACAATTACATGCCAGTGAGACTGAAAAGTGGGTGAAGAATTTATCTGACAGACAGCTCACCCAGCCGGAGACAGAGATTCTTGACAGGGGACTGAACTTTGTGGTTGCACCAAGTAGAATTCCTCTGGTGGAGATGATCACAGCCACAGAATCAGCCATCCTCAACAACAAAATTAAAGAGTGTGAAGCAGAACAACTCAGAATCAAAGTTTCAGCCTGCCTCAGCAATGCCAAACCACCACCTTCCAACATCAGTAGAGAGGAGAGGGATGCACTCACCACTCTTAGCAAGGACAAAAACACCATCATTCTCCCAGCAGACAAAGGAAGGTGCACAGTGATTTTGAACCAGAAAGAATATCATGAGAAAGTTATGACACTCCTTAGTGACTTGAACACTTATGAACCTCTGAAAAGAGATCCAGGAAATGGTTACAAGAAGAAGTTGATAGATTGCCTGAAAATTTTGGAACAGGACAAAGCTACTGACCATTTTCTGTACCACAGACTGTACCCAGGGGAGGCCACACCTAGTCTGTATGGTTTACCTACAATCCACAAACAAGGTGTACCTTTAAGACCAATTGTTAGCATGATTAACTCTGTCACTTACAATGTTTCCAAATATCTTGTGTCTGTACTCATCCCTTTAGTTGGCAGCTCAGAACATCACATACAGAACACCATGGACTTTGTGCATAAGGTGAGGGATGTCATAATGGAGACTGATGAAACAATGGTCTCTTTTGATGTCACATCACTCTTTACGTGCATTCCTGTAGATGATGCAGTAGAGGTGGTCAGTTTAAGATTAAAATCAGACACCACTCTGAACAGCAGGACCACACTTTCCACAGAACAACTGTGTCAACTCTTGAAACTGTGCCTGCAGTCAACTTACTTCACATATGGGAGCAATATTACAGGCAGAAACATGGGTGTGCTATGGGGTCTCCAGTTTCTCCTATTGTGGCCAACCTGTACATGGAGGAGGTAGAAAAGAGAGCCTTGACATCCTTTTCAGGGACACCACCAAGTCACTGGTTCAGGCGTGTTGATGACACCTGGGTTAAAATTAAATCTCAGGAAGTCCAACATTTTACTGACCACATCAACTCTGTGGATAAATATGTAGATGAACAGATGCTCAGATATATTCATCAATTAACACGGATTCCTCATTTTTCTGGACTGAATAAAACGTGCATTGAATTTAATGAAATGCAAACGTGAGACGTCATTTATATTTGACCCATCAAAATGAATGCAGTCATTTATTTACAGAATCAAAATTTAACATCAAACATTTACATTAATTTGGCAAATTATGAAAATAACAACATAAGCAATCAATCAGGAAAAATCATACGGCCATGATTTTTCCGTTGCTTCACCACAGACATTTATGAAACTGTACAATTATGATCTTTTACCCACACGGATGTGGATGAGCATTTTACACAGACATTTCTAAATATCTGGAAGAATATCTACTTGATAGAAAGTTTAAAGATGGGAAAGAAGTTTAGAGGGAGTAAAGATGGTATGGGAGGGGAAGTGTTCACCAGAACCGACACTCTCCGTCAGAACCCAGCTCTCCCCGGTACGCTTGGTAGGAAACTTGACTCGTTACCTTTCTGAAGTTAATCAGCAGATATGGAGCTCCGTTAACGCTACCTGTCCAGCGTCTCCTTAGGATGCTGTGAATCGTCAGAAGTAGTGGCGAGTGAAAATGTTATAATCCCATGGAACTCGGAAGAGCTCTGTTGTCATGTCAGGATCATCCCGTCTCTCACAGAACTGGGCTTCTCCGCACAGATCTCGAGCAGAGGCTTCCCAGAACTTCTCCAGAGCTTCTACAGAACTTCTAACAGAACCTCTAACAGAACTGAGTAGACCAGGAAGTACCGACAATTTAAAGAGCTCTTTTTCCCGGTTCATACGGGAGTCTCCCATTGGCCAGAAACAACCAGACGGGGTGTGTTTTGTGACGTAAGAGGTTAGAAGACAGCAAGAATTGTTATGAAACGATCAAAAATGTTCTCACAGACAGAGAGAGTTTTGTTTTGGCGCGTTTCAGAAACAGGTGCCAAAAACCTCTATATTTACGTCTGAGAGGATTCTAAAAACATGATAGTTCGTTCCAACAACTTGTTTTGCATTTGACTCCAACCTTGGACCAACTTACACTTGCTCATTCAAAGGCAGAAATCAGAAAATGCATAAAAATCTGTAACAGACCTCAACATGAATTCTAACTTTGCATGAGAAAAATCATTACACAGTTAATAAAATTGATTAGTTCACTGCAACATCTAAAATGGTTTGAACTAAGACATTTTGATTATCAACATTTGTAAAACAGTAATGATAATAAAAAGAGAGTGTTCTTTCACATGAATCTTCAAGAGAGAAAGTCTCAGGATGGGTGAACCTGCATTTCTGGATT